TGGGCCCGAAGGGCTTGAACGAGCATCCGCTGATGCTCATGATGCTGGCTGTTTGGCATTGGAAATGTCAGCACCAGGTGCTGATTCGGGGGAGGTGCATGCGGATGTTTCAGCCTTACATGGGTGATGCCATGGTTCCGTTGTAGGACTCAGGATGAAAGGCAACAGTCAGCATCTTGTCGCTTGCAGGGTCCTGTGCGCTAAGGAGAGCAGCTTCATGAAAAGCCTGGAGACGGCTCTACGATTTGGTGCTCCTCTGATTGTCATGGATGTTGATAAGGCACGAGGGCTCAAGGGGAATATCTTGAGATTGTGTGCTGGATCTTAAGTTGGGGATCTTGATGACCTGGGCTTGGAACAGGCAAATGGCTGCGCAGCCCAGGTGGGGTGGGAAAATCTTAAAGCATCCCGGAGGTGGATCCCATCCTGAACAACGTGCTGAATCGGGAGACCCACAAAAGCCTCTTGACGGCAGAATGCGAGGCTCGGGCCAGAGGTCTGAAACGTGAAGCTGACGACGAGCACCGACTAGCACTAGGCCAACAATTTGTTGGCGCTAATGAAGGCTTGTTGAGCAAGCTAACTTTTCCAAATCTCAGCTGATTCCTTGCCTTTGCATGAAGTCTTGGGACTTCACATTGGGTGGAATAGGTGAGCAGTGGTGAGCAGGGGCTACTTCTCAAACACGAGTTTCCCACAACACGGTAGACCTCTACAATGGAGAGGCTTTCTATAAGAACCCGGTTAGATGGTTGACCCTCAAAATTTCGAGATTCACAGAACCAGGAGTCTGCAACTTTGGAAGATCAAGCTAGGTTCTCTTGAGGGTCCCAAAGCATAGATGTCCATGTTACGGTAGTGATGCCCCAAAAAGACTTGTGCACCGCAGCTGTCATCCCTAAAGCTGTTTTTGTTTTCAGCCATTGGTGGCAGAGTCTTTCATTGTACAAGAGCCCTAGCACTAAAATCTCAAGGTGGCCCACGGGTGCTGATAACTCTCGGCGACCAAGACATCGACTTTAGCCCTGCCTTCGAGAAGCTGGGCTAAGCATGTTGTGTTGGTTTATGCAGCTTGTGTTATCATTCACACCTTGCTACTGTTGTTTTGCAGCGGCACTCATTGCGGGTGACCATCTCCTTTTTTGTTGTTGTTTTTGCTTCGTGTTCTTGCTGGATCTCCTTCCCTCGGCTCCCTTACCATCCTTGTAATCTCCCTCTCTCTGTGACTCTAGATGCCTGAGCCCTGAGCCTCAAACGTAAACCTTAAAGCGAGTCTCCAAAAGCTCTGTGAGCTCAGGATGTACATGTGCACGCGCGACTCCACCGCGCAGTTTACCCCCGATCTCTGCAGCCGCGCCCGGAGACCTAAAGCCCTATCGGGAGGTCCCCTATCAGGGCCAAGGGCTTAAGGAATTCAGGGATTCGACTTGTTGTGACTTCCGTATGAAAGGTAATGTTTTCAATGCAAAGCTGGCAACGTTGGCTGCCTACTTGATATCCGTACTTTTAGCAAAGGTTTGGGGTCTGCCACTGGCAACGGAGCACCAGGCTGCCTCGGAAACCAAGGCTTCAAACAGGAGTTTCTGGAGCTGCAGCGATGCAAGTTTGTGACCTAACTTGCTGCCAACGAGGGCTAAGATAGGCAGCGTGCAAAGCACTCTGATGGATGTGGGCAAGCCGACGCGAAACTCAGAAATCCAGGGAACCATTCAGGTGAATGGATCGTCTGGACTTCCAACCGTTAAGCAGAGACTCTACGAGGATGTGGATGCTGTAGGGCTTTCTCGGGTCTTCACTGACCTGATCCAAGTACTGTACACCCCGAACTCCAGCCCTAAACTCCAAACCCTCTAGATTGAAACATCCAAGGTCACTTTCGTGAACTTTACCGTCACACCTTCTTCCCTGCAGAGCCAGCGCTTAGCCTGGCACTCTAGGATGCTGCTGCTAAGCATCAACGGGTTTTATCCGGACTTAAACAGGCTGCAAGCAAGGATGCTTATCGTCATTGGTAGGAGTTGAGTTCTCTTGTTTGGAGGCTACATTACCTTGCTGCCATGTCACGCGAGGGCCCCCGCAATATCATGATTGCTAAAGAGTCGCCTCAGTTTCGAGACATCCACTGTTCACCTCACAGAACTTCGGGTGTGAACTCCTCAAGGTGCATGAATGCGTTGCTGAAATCCGAGCGGCCGGATGTGGCGGCCTCATGTGTGCGATCATGCAACAAGCTGTGCAAGACCTTTGCTAATCCTACCTCCTCAGCCCCTGTATTTCCAGACCCTGTGTTGCAATGGCTCGCATGCGTTGAGTCTGAGGTCGACAGGAAGCGTGAGGACCAGCTGAAACTGCAGGGAGAGTGCAAGGCCTCCCACGCCGCTTCTTCTTCCGCTTATCTTATAGACTAATGCACTGACTGCCATGACCTCTGCTACCTCGACAGGCACTGCCACCATCGCCGCAACCACCGCATACACACAATGCAACGAACTCCGACCGCGACGACTAGTACTACCATGACCGCTAGCAGTACCACAGGTATTGCTGTTCTCCTCAATCGTGCCTGTGGTATTGCGAAGGATATGCCAAGCTTTTCCTGTTTGAGCAATGCTGGGTGGCCATCATTGTCGCAGGTCAAGATGCGCGAGCTGGAGGCGGGAACCTCACCCGAATCCCAAAAAGCATCATTGAACGGCTTAGCATTTTGGAGGGGGCCAACAATATGTGAGGTTGGGGTTCAGCTTTCGAAGGTAGATCTCTTCCTACAATTGAGCCACATCAGTTGAGGGATCGTTCTTTTGATTGCTAAAAGGGTGAAGTGCTAGCTGGATTCCCGTGGCGCCACCATCCCTACAACAGTTCACGGACTGGACAGCTTTCCATTGGAATGAGATGCGTACTGAAGCATTCAGGATCTTGCCACCTGAGCGCGGCCGCCTGCACAGGGATCTGAAGTT